GAAGCCTTGCAACCACCGCCTCCCCTCCTCCTCCTCTTCACCCTGCCTCCAATCTGCCTTCAATCTGCTTCCCGCTGCCAAATGCCGCCACCAGTGCCTAGGTCCCGGGGGATTGTGCGCGCTCCATCGCAGGAGCCTTTCCGATCTGAAGGCCGCACCGGGACCTAGGGCGCCAAACCTCCTTTCAATAAAATACTCAAAACTTCCTGTTTTCTCGTCTCTCCAAATTGAAATGATCTTTAAAATGTTCTGTTTTGAGGACACACCGGAGGGACCCAGCTGCGTCCACAATGAATGAAGCGAATACAAAATGCAGCAGAGAGAGAGAGATTCAGTCTGGTAGACTCCTGCTGCAGCCCAACAAAGCCGGCCCCTTTCACCCTCGGCCAATCACACAGCGCTGCCAACCTAGGCCAGTTAAGCCGCTGTTTAAAAGCAGAAACTTCCAACAACAAACCCTTTCCAGCCTCGGAAGGAGTTTGTTCTGGCGTCACTTTTGTCTACTCACACCTCGCAACCACCACCATTACTCAGGTCTTATGCTACCTCTAGTACCCAGGTCTTATGCTACCTCTAGTACCTAGGTCTTATGCTACCTCTAGTACCCAGGTCTTATGCTACCTCTAGTACCTAGGTCTTATGCTACCTCTAGTACCTAGGTCTTATGCTACCTCTAGTACCTAGGTCTTATGCTACCTCTAGTACCCAGGTCTTATGCTACCTCTAGTACCTAGGTCTTATGCTACCTCTAGTACCTAGGTCTTATGCTACCTCTAGTACCCAGGTCTTATGCTACCTCTAGTACCTAGGTCTTATGCTACCTCTAGTACCTAGGTCTTATGCTACCTCTAGTACCTAGGTCTTATGCTACCTCTAGTACCTAGGTCTTATGCTACCTCTAGTACCTAGGTCTTATGCTACCTCTAGTACCTAGGTCTTATGCTACCTCTAGTACCTACTGTAGGTCTTATGCTACCTCTAGTACCCAGGTCTTATGCTACCTCTAGTACCTAGGTCTTATGCTACCTCTAGTACCTAGGTGTCTTATGCTACCTCTAGTACCTAGGTCTTATGCTACCTCTAGTACCTAGGTCTTATGCTACCTCTAGTACCTAGGTTTTATGCTACCTCTAGTACCTACTGTAGGTCTTATGCTACCTCTAGTACCCAGGTCTTATGCTACCTCTAGTACCTAGGTCTTATGCTACCTCTAGTACCTAGGTCTTATGCTACCTCTAGTACCTAGGTCTTATGCTACCTCTAGTACCTACTGTAGGTCTTATGCTACCTCTAGTACCCAGGTCTTATGCTACCTCTAGTACCCAGGTCTTATGCTACCTCTAGTACCCAGGTCTTATGCTACCTCTAGTACCTACTGTAGGTCTTATGCTACCTCTAGTACCTAGGTCTTATGCTACTTCTAGTACCTAGGTCTTATGCTACCTCTAGTACCTAGGTCTTATGCTACCTCTAGTACCTAGGTCTTATGCTACCTCTAGTACCTAGGTCTTATGCTACCTCTAGTACCCAGGTCTTATGCTACCTCTAGTACCTAGGTCTTATGCTACCTCTAGTACCTAGGTCTTATGCTACCTCTAGTACCTAGGTCTTATGCTACCTCTAGTACCTAGGTCTTATGCTACCTCTAGTACCTAGGTCTTATGCTACCTCTAGTACCTAGGTCTTATGC